CGTTCAAGACTTTTGCCCAAAGATGAAGAGCTATGGCTTCTCAAGTGAAACTGCCATTGAGCGAGAAAGAGACCATGCAATTGTCTGTGAAGACATTACTCGCTGAATACTTCAATAATCTCTACAACAACAGTTGTTTGACTTTCTTACATCTTGTTGATGTCGGAGAAAAAGTGGAATGGGCTATCCGAGATGGAAGAATATCCGAAAGTGGAGATAGGAATTTTCCAACCAAGAAAGATAAAGGATCCACCGTTGAAGTAGCATACATTCAAAATCCTCCCGTCTTAAAAGCACAATCGGTACCTTCACAAAAACCGATTGTTTTATCCGTGGGATTGTCAAGAAACTTTGAACGGAAAGGAAAGGCGCCTCAAAGGCAATTCTCTCCATTACCAAAACTGTTATCAAAACTTTTGCCCATGCTCCTCGAGCGAAGAATGGTGGCGAAAGAAGTCCTGAGGGACAACCCTCCGAAGTACATTGGCTTTGATGCCACGAAATCCTGTGAATATCATATGGGCAAGAAAGGCTATAGCACCGACAATTGTCTTGCTTTGAAAATTAAAGTTCAGAATTTGATTGATAAAGGGATCTTATATTTCAAGAATCCCGAGCCAAATGTGCAACAAAATCCGTTACCCAATCATATTGATAGTGTGAACATGGTCGAAATAAACGAAGATAAAAAATTCTTTAAGGTGGATGTGTCGAAATTAAGCAACATCTTGATGCAAGATGGACAATATGAAGAAGGAGGTGACATCTCGAAGGAAGAAAAGTTGATGTGCATTTCCAAATTAATTAACATGGGGATTATCCGGTGCATAGGAGATGAATCAGATTCCGTAATGACAATGGCTATGATTGATACATCGTCCGAGAACTTCCTTTACAAGTTAGAAGAGGAGGAGAATGGAGATGGATCCGTCAAAGTCTTGACCAAAGAAATGGAAGCTTTAGGAGTTATTAATGATGTTTCCTATTCAAAGAAGATGAAAAAGTCGTTTTCGATATGGATTCCGACCTCAATGTCAAAAGAACCCATTGGGACTATGAATTCATGAAGACCGCTCGTGAATGCGAAGAACTAGTGGACACATTGGGCCAACCAAGTGGAAAATATGACTTCTATGTCAAATATATGCCACCTCCAAGCTTCTTCGTCGATCCAAAGGATGTTGTTCCTGATGGATGGGGAGGTATGGATGATGAAAATGTGGATGATAATTGCACATCTAAGGTTATTGAACCTTTACCTGTCAATGAAAATGAGGAGTATATTTTTGACACGGATTCCGAGCTTGATGCTAGAAGAGCTTATTGGGATCGTGAATTTGTAACATCCACTCATGAGCGTGGTGAAGCGGTTGATACTCTAGGTCAACCAAGTTGGAAGTACGACTTCTTTGTCAAATATTCAAGTTTCTTCATTGACCAAAGGATATTGTTCCCAACGGATGGGAGGGAATGGATGATGAAAGGATGGTGGCTATGATCACTCTTGTTGTGATTGACCTCTCTAAAGAGGATGTCTATGAGAACAGGCCGATGGGAATTGAATTTGTGGTGATTGACTTGTCTAAAGAAGCTGCGTATTATGAAATCAAGTCGATGGGTGTGGAACCTGTTATTATTGATCTGTTAGTTGAAGATTTTGAATCAATTGAGATCTCGAGGGATGATTTTGAGCCCGTTGTGATCAAATTACCACCATTAATGGAAGGAGAAGAAATAACTATTGAAGTTACTCCTAAGTTTGATCAAAAAGCCGTTCCATGGAAGTACAAAACAAATGAAATCGATGCGGTCACTCGATCAGGTCGATGTTTTTCACCTAAAGGAGTCAAAAAGAAAGCTATGACTGAAGAGGATACTAAGCAATTTCTAACCATGGTGAAGACTAGTGAATTCAACGTAGTGAACCAATTGAGGAAGATGCCCACTCAAATCTCCTTGTTAGATTTATTCAAGTCATCCGAGAAACACAAGAATGCCTTGCTCAAGGTATTAAATGAAGTACATGTGTCTGACTCTATTGATGATGCTCAACTTGAAGAATTTGTTGGAGCAATCCTTTTGAAGGATCAAATCTCTTTTTCTGATGAAAACTTTCCTCCCGAAGGGCATTCCCACTCTAAGGTGTTGTACACATCCGTAAAGCATCGTGATATGATTTTGTCGCGAGTTTTTATTGATAATGGCTCGACGCTAAACATATGCCCATTGGCCACACTCCATCGGTTGGGAGTAAATGAAGATAGAATCCGAACCGCCAAAATGCCTATGCGAGCGTTCGATGGAATGAAGAAAGAAACTATAGGCGAAATTGAGTTGGAACTCATGATTGGACCTGTTCTTTTCTCGCTCACTTTCCAAGTCTTGAACATACCGAGCAACTTTAGCTTGCTTCTCGGTAGACCGTGGATTCACAACGCCGGAGCCGTGCCTTCAAGCCTTTACCAAAAAGTGAGATTCGCGGTGGATGGCAAACTCATTACCATACATGCCGAGACGGATTTTAAGGTGTTCCATGACACCGCTATTCCATATGTTGAGCCCGAATTCAAGAAAGAATCGAGTTACCACTCCTTTGAGTTGGTCTCCATTGCATATGTGCATGTTGGAGCGATTATGCAAATTCCTCAAATGTAAAAGCCCGCCATTATGTCTAGCAAGGTGTTGCTTGAAAATGGGTATGCTCTTGGAAAAGGCTTAGGCAAGCATTCCTAAGGCATTCTAAAGCCGATTAAAGTTGTCATGAAAAAAGACAAGAAAGGCTTAGGTTACCATAGAAGCCATGAAGGCCAAGGTGACAATAAAAATCCAAACAGAAAGGTAAGCGGTCGACAGAGACTTTTACCTCCATCTTTGAAAGAGATGTTTGTCGGACCTCCTGTGATGTTACAAGAGGAAGAGGTTTCCTTCGAGTTCATGGCAAATCTCTTTAATGAAGACCTTATTGGCACAATCTTGACCCATGATAAAGCCAGATCGTTCGGAGCACCTATCGATCTTGCTAAGTAGGGATGCTTCTTACCCTTCTTCTAAGTCTATTGCATTCGTTATCGCTTCATTTGTTTTCCCCTGCGTAGGATCAATTTGTTAGTTTAGTTGATTCTTTCAATTTAATCTTTGATTTGCAATGGACACTTGGATCTTGAGCCATTGGTCCAAGGTAGTATTTGTTGTAATATGGCCTTATCATTTGAATTTCAATAAAAGCATATGCATGTTTTATTAAGGACGCGTGGAAGTATACCAAACCAATCCTATGATGATGCTTTGAGGCCTGGACTTCCACACGTTTCCTAGCTTCCAATTTTTTGTGGAATGAGGATGTCCAATGATATGAAGACTAGTTCCTGATCATCTTTTTTTTTTTCGAAAATGATTTCCAAAAATATCATGCATTTGCATTTGTTATCAACATACTAACGCTCTACATTACATCTCAGGCATGACATTCTGCATACTCACAATAGACACATATGTGAATCGGAGTTGTACGATGATAATTCTTCTGAATCAGATGGTGAAGATGATTAGAAATCTATTAAACAAGAATTGACTCGTCATGAAGAATCTAAGCCCCTTACTGCTGAATAGACAATCACTATAAATTTGGGTGATTCCAAAAACGTCAAAGAAACTAAGATTGGAGTTGATCTCTTTGAAGTCGAAGCCAAAAGAATGATCGAACTCTTAAAGGAGTATCAAGATGTATTTGCTTGGTCCTATGCTGACATGCCGGGTTTAGTGGAGCATGTGTTACCAATTAACCCTAATGTGCCGCCTAAGAAACAAAAGCTTAGGAGAACGAAGCAAGGAGTTATCCAAAAAGATTGAAGAAGAAGTCATGAAGCTCCTTAAGGTGGACTTCATTGAAGTAACACATTATTCAGATTGGATTGCAAATATTGTCCCGGTTATGAAGAAAGATGATCGAGTTCAAGTATGTATTGATTACCGAGACTTGAATCGAGCCAGTCCAAAGGACGATTTCCAATTGCCATATATTGACGTTCTGGTTGATAGCACGATGGGATTTGAACTGTTCTCCTTTATGGATGGATTCTTCGAATACAATCAAATTGAGATGAAAAAAGAAGACGAGCAAAACGTCCTTGATCACACCATGGGGGACATTCTGTTATAAAGTTATGCCTTTTGGCTTGAAAAACGCAGGGGCAACATACCAAAGAGCGATGGTTATGCTATTTTACGACATCATGCACAAAAAGATTGAAGTGTATGTAGACGACATGATTGCCAAGTCAAGATATGGTGAAGATCACATCCAAATTTTAAAGAAGCTATTTGATAGACTTCGGAAATTCAAGTTAAGGCTCAACCCCGCAAAGTGTGTATTTGGGGCAAAGTCTGGGAAGCTATTAGGATTCATGATTAGTAGTCTAGGAATCGAAATTGATCTATCAAAGGTCAAAGCCATATGTGATTTAAAAGCTCCTTCTACTGTCAAAGAAGTGAGAAGCTTATTAGGAAAATTGAACTACGTTGCTAGATTCATATCTCAATTATCCGAGACGGCAAAGCCATTCTTCAAGCTTTTGAAAATGAATGCTAAAGTAAAATGGGATGTCGAATGTCGAAACGCTTTTGAAGAGATAAAGCATTATCTTTCACATCCACCTGTTCTGGTGCCACCAACTCCTGGAGTACCACTGATTCTCTACTTGACAATCTATGATGAGTCATTGGAAGCCATGCTAGCCCAAAAGAGATCAGGAGATGGAAAGGAGAGTGTGATATACTATCTTAGCAAGAAGCTTTCCACCTCCGAGATGAATTACTCCGAAATTGAAAAGACATGTGTAGCCTTAGTCTAGGTATTACATCGGTTACGTCAATATACACTTCACTACCAAGTCCTGTTGGTGAACGAGAACAATCCAATCAAGTATCTCTCAGATAATCCCGCTTTGGTTGGAAAATTAGCCAAATGGCAAATTCTCATCTCCGAATTTGATGTATAAACTATGGCACAAAAATCTGTCAAAGGTCGAGCCGTAACTGATATGCTAGCCGAAAGTTCAAAGCAATCAGAAGGATCTAATGGAGTTGAGCTTATGGATGAACGCATTCTTTTGATTGCACATGGCAAGTGGGTCATGTATTTTGATGGCGCTGTCAATCTATCCGGTTCGGGCACTGGCGCAGTCCTCATCTCCCTAATGGGTCCACATTATCCCGTAGCAGCAAAGTTAGTTTTCCTGTGTACCAACAACATCTCAGAATATGAAGCTTGTATTCTTGGCTTACAACTTGCCATTGATATGAAGGTTCAGAGGTTACAAGTCTATGGTGATTCTGCGCTCATCATTCTTCAAACCGAAGATGAATGGCAAATGCGCGATTCAAAATTGATTCCATATCACAAGTTCCTTGGAGAATTGATGGAAGAATTCGAAAAGATATCTTTCGAGTATCTACCAAGGTCTCAAAATCAATTTGCTGATGCTTTGACAACTTTGTCATCAATGTTACAAGTCATGGATGGATTGGACATTGATCCTCTCAAAATTGAAATTCTTGAATGCCCGACCTACTGCATGATGATTAAAGAGGAACCCGATGGCGAACCATGGTATTACGATATTATGATTTATCTACAAAAGGGCACATTTTGCTAAGGGAGTCAAGCAGCCGATAGAAAGTATTTGATGAAATTAGCATCAAAATTCTTTGTGAGTGAAAATGCTCTTTATAAAAGATCCTTTGATTCAGTCTTACTAAGGTGTGTGGACGCCAAAGAAGCCAATCAGTTGATGAAAGAGATACATGAAGGAGAGTGTGGTCCACACATGAATGGCCACCTCTTGGCAAAGAAAATCATGAGACTTGGATATTACTGGTTGACAATAGAGACAGATTGCATTCAACATGTGCGATATTGCCATCAATGTCAAATTTATGAGGACAAGATCAATGCTCCTCCAAATGAGTTACAACAAATGTCCGAAGCATGGCCTTTTTCTACGTGGGGCATTGATGTTATCGAACCCATCAATCCTAAAGCTTCAAATGGGCATCGTTTCATTTTGATGGCCATAGATTACTTCACCAAATGGATCGAAGCAAATTCATACGCCAACGTCACAAAGAATGTGACGAAATTCATCCATCGTGATATCATTGTTGACATTTGATTTTTAGCTCATTTTTCTTTATATTTTCAAAAATCTCAAAATTAGGACTAGGAATCTTGGCCAATCCTAGAAACCTACTTCCAAATCAAAAAATAATTTTTTTGGCATTTTTCTACATTTTTCCTTAATTTCTTTTAGTCAAAATAAGTGAGAAAATCAAGAAAAATAGCAAATGGAATCAGAAAATTCCATAAAAATAGTCATTAGTCCTATTTTAAATTCAATTTCATCTATACATCATCAATTTTGAAAAATTTCAATCGGGTATGTGTTTTTCCCAAAATTGGGCAAAATCAAACCCGAATTGAACCAAAAATGCAATTAAATTTTTTCTAGTCATTTTTAAGTCATAGTGTCTTCACAACAAATGATTTTGGGACCTTGAATTGCATAATGGTTGGTCCAATTGCACAATTTGTCAAAGAAATCAGAAAACCCCAAAATTTAATTGAAAATTAAGAATTTTGAGCCCAAATTCGGAATCATGCCCAATATGAAATTGTTGAACCATGAGACTATCATTTCTAGGGTTAATCAGATGTGGGTAATTCAATTTTGGCATCAATTTTGCCTAATCAGATCATTAGGATATCAAATTGAACAAAACCCTATTAACCCAAATACAAAAATGTGAAAATCTTATATACAATTATAACAAAAATTGGGAAAAATCACATATTTGGGTTCGGAATGTGATGAGGAATTCAATTTTGGGGTTTAATTTTGAAAATTGGGTCAAAATTGAGCTTAATTGGTGAATTTAGACCAACCCGGGTCGACTGGGTCAACCCGACCTAACCCGACTCGGGTCGGTCACCTTCTTCGCCCGACTCACTTGAGTCACATTAAAACCCAGGAAAAAACGTTTCAAGCCCGCCACTTCGCCAATCTTCTCCGGTCAAATAGACACGTGTTTGACCTGAACGACAGCTGGAGAATCTCCGGCTGTCATCGGAGATTGGTTATAACCGATCAAAAGTCGGTTCTAATCGAATTTGGGCGGGATTTTTTATCAATAAAAAATCTGATAAAAACTGAAAAAAGGCGAAGGAAGTGTTCGATGATTTGCTAGAGAGAGAGAGAGAGAGGAGAGAGAAACAGGCGAAACCAAAGAGGAAAAGTTAGAGAGATGGTCTGAGGTTCCCACGCGAGCGTCCGGTGCTGCCCTAGACGGCGGAGCACCGGCGAATCGGAGTTTGGCTGAAACTTCCCCTCCACTGTTCCAGTCGGATCGGCTGGTCCTGAAGGTCTGAAACCGAGACTTTTCCGGTCAATCCAGAGCTCTTCCGGCGAGGCTAAGACCACCAGGTGAAAGTTCAAGTGTCAAGGAACAACCCTATAGGCGCGGATCAGTTCGACAATTTCTTCTGATCATCGAACAAAGAAGGTAAACATTACTCACGGCCACAGTTTTTCCAGAAATTCCAGAAAACACGATTTGATTCAATCTTGCTGTTCATGTCATTCTGATCGTGATTTTGTATTTCTGAATGTTCAAAACTTGTTTCTAATCATGTTTTGTATTTTTGATTGCATTTTGTGCTGTTAAATCAACAAAACCGAGTCAATCCACCATTGAAAAAGTTCTCGAGCCTCGCCGGAGTGCCTTCTGCGGCCAATGGCCGCTCAAGTTAGTAACTATTGACCTTGCTTGATGTTTTGATTTTGATTTTGATCGATGTAGACGGTTAGGGCGGATTATGTGATGATATGAAAGTCAGAGAAGCTGGTCTTGATCAGTTTTAGGTTGAGACCTTTGGGATCGATTTTCACCGGCCGGCGGTGGTCAGGCAATGATCCGACTAGGTTAGATGGCTAGAGGACGATGAAGACTCAATACAGAACCTAAAAACATGAACGGAAGGTCACCGGAAGCTCGTCGGATTTCGGTCCGAAGTCGCGGCCTTGATAATCCAAAACAAGAGATCATGCCCACCGAGTGCTTGGGGAAATGCCCCAAAGAAATTGAGCCAAAACGGTGCCGTTTTGGGCACCGTATCCGCCGGAGAAGACAACCGGCGCCGGCGCCGGCGACACCCGGTTCGGCCAAGCCAAACCGGGTTGAACCGGACCGGTCTGGTTCGTTTCCCGGCGGGAAATTTAAAAATTAAATAAATAATAATAATAATCTAAAAAAATCTTAAAAAATTCTTAAAAAAAAAAATAAAAAATTCAAAAAAAATGTAAAAAATCAGAAAAATCTAAATTTTTTTGGAAAATCGAAAAATTTTAGAAAAATAGGAAATTCACAAAAATTTAAAAAAAAACAGAAAATTCATAAAAATAAAAATTCAGAAAATACAAATAAAAAATGTGAAAAATTTAGAAAATCAATAAAAATTGAAAAAATTGAAAAATTCATAAAAATTTTCAGAAAATCATAAAAATCAATTCTCGGTTAATGAAATTTCAGAAAAAAAATTTCAAAAAAATTCAAAAAAATTCAAAATTTTTAAAAATTTACAGAATGGTCCAAAAACACTGTGGCCAACCCTCAAATGTGAAATTTGAATTTTTGGAAGTGCCCAAGTGGCATTTTTAGAAAATTCCAAATTCATGGGTTATAACCGCTAAAAAACCCTAAAATCCTAAAAAAATGTAAATCATGAAATGAATAAGCTTCTAGAGCTTCATTCGGGTTTGAATGTTTTGATTGATTTTCATTTTTAGAGACCATTTAGGATTGATTGATCTGATTGACATTGATTGTACATTCAATACTTGTTTGGTTTTTCCTGCGATTAGAATGGATAGAATTAGTGGGTAAGCCTCGAAAATTTGCATGACACGTTAGACATCGTATCGTTCTTAGGTACCGAAAGGGCGTTAGGAATCTCGATTTGGGATCAATAACGTAACCAAGTCCCCGTACTCAGACTCTCTGATTTGTAAAATCATGGTATTTCTCCCATACCCCGATTAGGTTTCTAGTCTACCTACTAATAATGACTAGTGGCGACTCCAAAATCACAAACTTAGATTAAATAGGAAATTACCATCTGCTGTCACGTGAGGTATGGTATGGGAGAGACCCTTACACGGAAATACCTCCTTAGTGCGCAAATCCCGAAAGCCCCAAAAAATAAAGCGCAGCGCGGCACGACATCTACCTACCAATAATGACTAGTGGCGACTCCAAAATCACAAACTTAGATTAAATAGGAAATTACCATCCGCTATCACGTCAGGTATGGTCTGGGAGAGACCCTTACACGGAAATACCTCCTTAGCGCGCAAATCCCGAAAGCCCAAACAAAAAAAGCGCGGCGTGACAATCATCGCTTGATATGGGGTTCCTAAAGCAATCATCACGGACAATGGATCCAATTTGAACAACAAGATAGTAGATGAATTGCTTAACGAGTTTCGTATTTGCCACTCAAATTCTTCACCATACCGCCCGTAAATGAATGTAGCTGTGGAAGCGGCAAACAAGAACATTAAGAAAATCTTGTCAAAGACCGCAGAGAATTATCGCGATTGGCATGAACGATTGCTATATGCACCAATGGCATATCGAACTTCCATCCGTACTTCAACTGGGTCAACTCCGTTCTCGCTTGCATATGGAATGGAAGCCGTTCTACTTGTGGAAATGGAAATTCCTTCACTAAGAGTGCTTTCACAATTGAAGCTTTCTGAAACCAAATGGATTCAACAAAGATATAAACAATTGAACATGATTGACGAAAAGAGGTTGAAAGCCTTATGTCATGGACAAAGTTACCAAAAGCAACTGGCAAAGTCCTTCAATCACAAAGTTTGACCAAGGCACTTTGAGGTTAATGATCTTATGATAAAGAAAGTTTTGTCCAACACATTGGATCCTCGTGGAAAGTTCACTCCGAATTATGAGGGCCCATATGTTGTGAAGAAGGCCCTATCTGGTGGAGCCTTAATTCTTGTCGAAATAGATGGCCAAGAGTTGTTAAATCCTATAAATGCAGATGCTGTCAAGAAATATTTTCCATGAATGAAAGGCTGCGAAGCCACTTTTCAAGCAAGACCGTGTCACTCTAGGTCACTTGCATCATGCATACCATGCATATATCACATAAGTGCATTTGTGTGCTCATTTTGTAGGTATCAAAACATTCTCAAGGAAATTAGAGGTGTTTTCTTTGATGTGGAATCAAGAGAAAGAGTAAATGGTATCATTCCAATTTATTTATTTTCAATATAATTCTTTGACAATGTTTCCTTCCTTTTGTATCGGAAACGCCGCTCTCGTAGAAATCAAAATCAAAAGCGGCATTGTGTCCCTGTTGTCAACTACCCAATGTGGAGTAAGTGAACAATCATTTGAAAAAAATGTTCTTTGTCAACGCATTTCAAAAGGACTTTTCAAAGTTTTTTCAAAAGTTAGAAAAACAATTCGAAGTTTGAAACAAATTTGAAAATATGATTTTGAAGAGTTTGAATGACATCCTTCAAATTGGTCATTCAAGCATTGGTAAACACATCATGAGTCAAAAATCCCCACGGAGGATAATTTAAGCAAATGTTTTTTGAGAAATAAAAAGGAAATGTTAGTCATGACAAGTCGAAGTACTTAAGATGACAAAAGGCAAGCCCTATCCAAACACGTCCCTATACACTTTTCAGAGTGAACGAGAAATAAAACCTTGTCTTAGGACATAGGATTTATTCGCATTGAATATATGGATTGAGGTGATAAAAGGCATTTCACTTTTCTATCTTAAACACTCATGATATCCCTTGCTAGCCATTTTGAGCCAAATAAGAAGAAATTTTCAAAATACCCCTGTCAAGAACTACCCCACATTGGGGCAAATTAGGAGTTTTTGGTTGATCATTTTGGAGCAAAAAGATTAAGAAAGATTTTATTGCTTTCACTTGCATCAACCTTTTTGTGGTAACTTCAAGTAGATCTTTATCAAAGCTTGAAGCATCCTAAAGTGAAGAAGAGCATTCTTTTCCTCTGCCCAAACACAATTATCCCTTTGCTTAGCCAAATTGAGACTTAAGCATTGTTCATT